AAGCAGCGCAGTCGACGTCGTGCATTTACTTTCACTTTCACTGTCGACTCGAAGCCCCAGGCAAAAAAGTTAAGAGACCCCAAACCCATTTATAAACCCCCTACTTTACTGCTTGCATATAATGTACTTTGTGCTTTCTTCCTTTTATTTTTTAATTTAGAAAAACTTTTGCCCCAGAGCTTTTGCATTTTTTTTCTGTTGTTTTGCGCCTTCTTGAAAGTTTATTTTCGACAGAGTTTTATGTGCCTGGCGGGCAGGAGCAAACAGGACACCGAAAAACAGGACACTGCAGCGGTTCGAAGGAAAACCGCCATGGGAGGAGGCGCCTGCCCGCCCAAGGAAAATGACAAAATAATGTAATTTGGGCCCGTAGATTTATGCGTGCTGCGCCTCCGCAAAACAAGAATTTTCTCTTCGGTTTGGGGAAAACGCAACGTCGTCGTTTCCTTTCCTTATATTTCCCTTGCTTTTCCTCCAGGATGCTTTCCTGCTGCGCGTGCCTTACCATCGTTTTTTTCCCCGCTTTTCCTTGCTTTTTATTTAAGCCGCTTGGTCGAATTTAGGGCAGGTTTCATTCGCGCTTAAACCCAACCAAAAAAAAACGAATCCTGCCGCAGGAACTTTGGTCTTTTTACTTAGCCATCGGCAAGGCGAGAGTTGTTGACAAACTTTCAAGCCGAGAAGAAGATAAAAAAGGATATGAGGATGGGAATAGGAATAGGAATAGGAATAGGTAGAGGGATCGGAAGTTGATATGGATATAGGCAGCTGAGTGTTTGGTTAATGCCAGGAAATTCGATTGAAATCAACAAATTAAAGGTGCAATTATTTTACAAAAATATAGGATTGTTTTAATAATTATGCATACAGCAAATTAGAGATCTGTTTTCCTCTATTAAGTTATGATTATTTATTTTGACTTAAAATCGATATTTTACCAAGCATTTAATTTAGTAAAGATAGTTTTTTTAAAATGACGGGATATTTGTAAATCTTAGTTAAAAGTTTAGTAAGTATTAAACAAAATTAGTATGTCAGAAGGGGAATCTTAAAATTATTTTTAGGAGTAACAACCCCTTCCACTTTCATTTCCTAAGCCCCAATCATCAATAAGACATTAAATACCAGAGGGAAATACCAAGAAATGTGACGGACTGCCTGAAATACCCGATGAAGGATCATTATTCACACGCCTTAAAGCCACATCCCTCGGATCTCCCTTCTCCACTCTTTCAACCAATAATAAAATATGAAAACAAACAGGGACCCAGGCCCATTGTCATGGTCACCTAATCCGACTGCCCAAAAATGGCCCGACTTGAGCCTCTTTCGGACCCCTACAAAAAACGGAAGCTGGAGGCTGGGAAATAATCATTTCAAATGCAAAACCCAACCGGCGGAGATGAAGACAAAGAAGTCGGCAGGACGAACTCATAAATGACCGCCAGCTGTGCCAAATTCTTGGATCCAAGCACCGCTGCACATGCTCCGCATTTCTCAACTCCACTCCAATTTTCCCGATTTCTCCTCTCCTTGCGGCTTCCTTTGCCGCGCTGATGCTGCACAGATGATTCTGATTCATTTAATTTTCGTTTTTGTAAATGGTTAAAGTCAGCGATGAGAAGGGGTACAGATATCTGTAGGATGGCAGTAGGCGTGGCATCGCCTTCGCATCTGTGAAAGACTGTCAGTCAGAGGGCCTCAGAAAACTTTTGCCTGCCACGCACAATTTTCCACTTTCAACTTTTCCAAGGGGATGCTGTTCGGCGAGGTGGAGGGACTTTCGGGTGGGCTCAGCTTTATGCTTGGCTGATGTTGCGATAAGCAGGCTATGTTGTCGCTGGTACACAGCTAAAATAAATAAAAATATTTTAAAATAATAATGCAACAATAGATTACAAACTCAATAAAAAAAGAAACATTTGTTTCTTCTTTTAAAATAATAAGAAAAACTGTACTAAAAATAAACTACTTAAAATGAGATACATTAAAACTGACTTCAAAAAACTCACGAAGGAGTGAATAAAATATTTTAAATATTCTAAATTATAAAAGCAATGGTACAAGTTTAGAAAAAAGTTTTAATGTATTATTATTTTTGAAGTATTTTTCTGAGTGTATCTTGCTTCTTGCCACTGCTTCTGTTGTTGTTGTTGCTGCCACAGCCGCAACGCTGCACACGCCACATAGAAATGGGTGAAATGGGGGGTGGGGCAGAAGGTGGGTGGTAAAAGCAGTGGGTCGAGAGGAGTGGGAGGAGCTGCCCTGGGGCAGGGTTGAAACGTTGTTGTTGCTGCTGCTGTTTTAGTTGGCGCCAGTTTCCCATGTAAAAGTTGCTGAAAAGTGTAACGCAGTCGAAGCTTGACAGAGTTAAATTGGACTGGGGATGCGGTTGAGTTTTCGGAGAGTTGGAGAGTGGGGGGTGCTGTGGTGGCTGCGAAGTTCGGGAGTGGGTGGAGAATTTAAGGAAAGGGCAGATGCCGTTGCCACGTCGCCTACGCGGCATAGTTTCAACTTTCCTGGCCTACGCACTGTAAAAAAAGAAGGTTATCTGGATTTTTATATAATGTTGATAAGGTGATGAACAAAAAATTAAATTAAAAAAGTTATTCGCAAAAAAATAGAAAGGCCGTTAAAGAAAAAATTAAAAAAACGAGACAATATTTTATTGTAGTTTTTGTTTTTTGGTTTTGATAGTAAAAATTATAGAATAATTTTAAATATTTAACCGCTTAAAAAAGGAGAATTAAAAACTAATCTTATTGGCTACAAAAATATAGCTTCTTTTATTTTTAAAATTGTAGTTAAATTATTTACAATTACAATTTTAAGCAAAACTTAATAGATTATACTTTTTTTCATTATCACATTGTTGTACATATTTTTATAAAAAAGTAGAGTGTTTCTCTGTCTCAAAATCCAACTAAATTTTGAAGTTTGTTTTTGTTTTGTGCAAAAATTCAGGCACTTTTCCGTAGTGCCCCTCCGTGGAGGCCCCCCGTTTTATGTGTGCGTGTTTTGGAGCAAGTACATAGAGGCGCCGTTATGTGCGCAGATTTTTCTCCTACGGCTGGAAAATAGATGAACCCCTCAGAGGGAAGAGTGGGGTGTACACTTTCGCCTTCACTTTCACTTGCCACCTACCAAGTGAAAACGGGCGAGGGTGGCAGCAAACTTTCGACATCAAAAAGAACTACTTTCGATAATCACAGGACTGGCGCCAGAGGAATTACATTTCAGCCGGCTGCGGGAGAGTTCTCCACGCTTTTTACTGCCTCCATTTTCGGGCCGCTTTTTTGGTTTTAAAGTTTGGCCAAATTTGGCCTGCGAACTTTTATGCGCATAACAAATTCCCATACTCGTTTCCCGTGCTTCAGCTATTTTTTATGCAATTTTTTATTGGCATTTTATGCGTTGGATGAGATCAGCTAAGCTAAGCAGGAATAACAATAATTCAAGAGGTTTGCTTGTTAATTAAGCTAAACGAAAACCACCCTGAAGGGAAAGTGGGAACATCAAACGTGGAGTCCAATCAATGACATCATGATGATGCTGCTGCTGGAAAAATGCAGTGGAAAAACTGGGTTGTGAATGTCCGGTGGTTGGCCTTTATCATTTGGCCCGAAGTTGGTGGTGCGTTGACCAACCGGTTTGCCATGGAAACCCCTTTTCATCCGGGGAAAATCCAAGCCGTTGCATTTGCCAATTCAAAAAGTAGTTTCCACTTAAACAGGGGTGGAAGCTGAGGAAATCACCTTTAGCGGGGAAAACACGAAAGCGGGGTTGAAAGGATTGGATAACAAGGTGAAACAAATGCAATTCTATACGACAAGGGATTTTCTTTTCAAAAAGAAATGAATAGAAAAATGTAAAATAATATAATTACTGAGGAAGGGGTAAAATACTTTTATAAAAATCCTTCAATTACTTTAAAAAAATAATAGCAACTATTTCAATATTTTACTAATTACACTATGCAGCATCAAAAATTTACCTCGATGGATACTATATTTTTGGATTTGTTACGAATTCCAAAGTTAAACTGCGTTTTCCAAAAAGTTCCCCGACGCAAGGATTCTTAGCAAAAGGACCTCAAAGTTCGAAAAATTCCGAAATTGGCCAACTTTCCAAAGCTCTCAGAGGCAAACGGATTCATGGTTTGGTTAGATGCTAAAATTTTATAAAAGATACACTCTTTATCTTTCAAACCCCATACTTAGAATAATTTTAGGATTTTTATTAAGGGAGAAACAAGTTTTAGAAAACATAGTCAAAAAACATAAAAGTATACAGCTGCGGTCAAAATAGTAGTAGTGTTGCCAGCATGTGTTTTTAAAAGTTTTTTGTTGTCAATTTTCTTATCCAATTAGTCTAATTGTACAATTATAATCAATACAATATCATCAGAAGAAGATGAATTACAGCAACAAACTTTTAAAAACACAGGGCGGCAACACTACTACTATTTTGACCGCAGCTGTTTGTTTTTAAGTTTTTTTACTATGTTTTCTGGAATCGATTTCTGCCTTAAAAAAAATCCTAAAATTATTCTAAGTATGGGGTTTGAAAGATAAAGAAAGTATCTTTTTAAAAACTTTAGCATCGAATCAAACCATGAATCCGTTTGCCTCTGAGAGCTCCGGAAAGTTGGCCAATTTCTGCATTTTTCGAACTTTGAGGTCCTTTTGCTAAGAATCCATGCGTCGGGGAACTTTTTTGAAAACGCAGTTTATCTTGGGAATTCGTAACGAATCCAAAAATATAGCATCCATCGAGGTAAATTTAAAAAGCACTAAAAATGCTGCACAGTGTTATTAATATTTCCTACTTTTATTTAGTAATTGAGATATTTTGAGATCTATGTGACAGTCACATTGTGACTAACGCACTAAAAATTAAATATTTTCTTGTAGCTTTAAATTTTCTTTAGGATATAACCAAATCAATAAAATATAATAAATAATTCTTACAAATAGCTTTACAAATCGATTTTAAGCCAGTCACCACAGATTACATTTTTTGTGCTGCGAAGGACATTTAAAAGCCTTACTAAATGCATCCAGATTCTTCAAAATGTGCCGTAAACGGACGGGACGTTCGTCGTGTGAAATAGCAGGATTTTTGGAGTGGCCACCTTCGCAAAAGAATTGGGCCATGTTACGAAAAAATAATTTGTCCAGGTTTTTTGTATTTCTAGAGGAGTAAGTCGCGTAGGCCAGTTTAGCTCCTTCGATATCCGCCAATCGCTCTTCAAGATATTCCGTCTTATCGCGGTTCATGCAACTTAAGCCCTCCTTAAATTGCGGCAAAGACAATATATCATCGCCTATTTTCAGATATTTTCCGTGGATATCACGGTAGATACCATGTGTGCCAATGGAGTGCATTAACTCATGGCCAAGAACATATCCCATCAAACTGTACTTGAAAACATCGTAGCTCTCCGCATTAAAGAAGGGTTCCTGAAGGAGGGCAAATGGTATTACGATGAAGTTCTTGGCATGTATATAGTATGCACTAGTCGGACCTCGAAAACGCCTATTTATTTTGAGATTCGTGTTTGATGGTTCCAGCACTTCATCAAAAAGCTTTCGATTGCGAAACCACAGGAGTTCAAGTTGAACTCGTCCGTAGTCCAAATCTTCCGATGAAATCTCTATATCCTCATAGTATCCATTAACGAAGCTTCGATGGTCGAGATCCCTTGGTATATTGCCAATATTGAGAACCAGACCTTGAACCTTTTCGATTACCGCTGCTTTTTGATCGGAGGACAGTCCCATTCGGTTTCGATTTATTTGGAGAATTAACTGCCGACGCATTGTGTTAAAAATACGATGAACTTCCTGGATATTCTTCTGCAACGTCGCGGAATCCTGGAAGTGCTCCTTGTAGAGCAGATTCGTGGCCATCTCCATTTGGTGGTTCAATTTCCACAGGCAGTCTCCGGGAGTTCCGCCACTTATAGTGTTTTTTTTCAAGTGGTTAACAAATCGGAACATAAAATAATTTGCCAATAGTTCGGGGTCTGTGGAATCCATCAGTCTTTTCAAAGCCGCAAAGTAGATAAAGTTGTTGACCAACAGCGGGAATTCAGGTGAAATGCGGTGACCAACTATGGATTCGATGAACTTCTGCCAGTCGAGATCGGTTATATACTCAATACTTAGTGCACTCTTATATCGGTAGGGTTCCATGGGGTCAGCTTTCCATTTTATAAGGTTTCTTACTTGCGATTCCAGTAATTGAAGCTTTGTATAAGGTATGGATTTGTAAAACTTGGAGTCTAAGTCTTCCTCCAAGCTGGGAATACTTAGCTTCAATTGAGGCTCTCTACCGAATATCGTATTTGTTGAGACTTCCAGTTTTATTAAAAAATCTGTGACGCCGTAGCGGTGCAAAATGGCCAGTGTGTCCATCCAATTAAAGCGATCCTTTGGCCATTCGGTTCCGGGTATTGTGAAACTGGGCCAAGAGAGTCCTTCGCCAGGAGGAGCTAACTTTAGTAGGTGCTCCATTTTCCATGTTTGTGAGGGAGCCTTCAGGCAACTATTATAGTACCTCAGAGCCTTTGCATCCACACTTGACTCGTTGAAGACCGCATTTTTCGACCTAAGTTGCAGTTCCTCCATTATTTGACCGAGGTCCTTATAGAACCTTTGCATCAGCATTACATTGATGGTAGAACTAGAGTCCTTTTTATGGCGTTTTGCGTAATTGCCACATGCATGTATGAAAAAATCATCGCAGGGATTCGATGATTTGTTCTCATTATAATTTATGTACCTCTCTAGTCGATCGTTGGAACTCATATACCTCAAAACTGTTGAAGGCGCCACAATTTGTGCAAACAACAGCAAAATGATCCACTTCATTTTGAAGCTAAGTAATGTAACCGAAAGCTAAGATTTCTTTAACTGACCATATTGCGAGGGAGTCTCGTCTTTTATATACTGTAAGCCGGGAATCCATTCTTCCAAATTACTCATTAATGTCAATTGTCCAAATGCGTCAGACTTTCTATATAAATCGAAAAGAATAATTGCGATTGCGTCACAGTGGCTTGTGGCATTATCATTTAACCAAAAAAAAAGTGGAGAGCTGGGATATTCCCTGAACTTTCTACAAAAATTGAAAAGGCTTTGATAAAACTTAGTTCAGAATAACTGAAAACTTAAACTTCAATAAATTCAAAAATAATGATTATTTCCGATTAAAAAAACCTTAAACTAATAAATATGTCCCATGAATATTTATTTATTAATTATTTCCTTTTAATGATTTAATCATTGAAAAAAAAAACTAAAATAATGATTATTTCTGACAGAAAGATACAATGTTTGATAATTTTTTGATATATTGCGGGTTCTATTATAAATATTAAAAAAAAAGTACCCAACAAAACTATTTCAAAGATTCTTAATTGATTCTCATTTTCAATCCATTTATTTATTTTATTTAAAAACTTGTTTGTTTACATATTTAAATTATTCTAATTGAAGGCAAAAAGATTAGTTAACAAAATATTTAAGCCATTTAAGCCAGTCACCACAGTTGGCATTTTTCCTGCTGATCGGCCAGAGAGCATCCAAAGGCCCTATTAAATGGATCGTAATTTTTCACAATTTGGTTTACTCGGTCCGGATGATCGCCATGTGAAGTTATTTTATATATCGACTTGCCATTTTGGCAAAAGAAGTGCGCCGTGTTGAGGAAGAATATCTTGTCTGGGTTAAGATCAGTAAAGTTTGTAACGTTTTTGGTATTTCTGGAGGAGTACGTGGCGTAGGCCAGTTTAGTTCCTTCGATATCCGCCAATCGCTCTTCGAGAAACTCCGTCCTTTCGCGGTTTATGCAACTTAGGCCCTCCTTAAATTGCGGCAAGGACAATATTTCGTGGCCTTCTTTCAGATATTCTCCATGGAGATCACGGTAAATACCGAGTGTGCCAATGGCGTGCATTAACTCATGGCCAAGAGTAAATCCCAACTGGCTGTACTTGAACACATCGTGGCTGTCCGCGGTGAAGAAGGGTTCCTGCAGATAGACGTATGGAATTACGATCAAGTTCATGGCGTGCACGTAGTATGCATTGGTCAGTTTGGAATGAGCCGTATACACATCGTAGCCCGAAGCTGGATTTAGCTTTTGATCCAAGCCCTTTCGTGTGCGAGACTCCAGGATATCAAGTTGAATCTTTCCGTAGTCCAGATCTTCCGATGGAAAATGTAGATCTTCATAGTACCCGGTGACGAATCTGCGATAGTCGAGATCCCTCGGTGCAGCGCCTACATGGAGTTTAATAGCTTGTACCTTCTCGAGGACCACCTCTTTTTGTGAATCCGACAGCTGTAGGCGATTTTGATTGATTTGCAGGACCAACTGCTGACGCATTTCCTCAAAGATACGATAAACTTCATGGATATTCTGCTGCAACGTTTCGGAATCCTGGAAGTTCTCCTTGTAGAGCAGGTTCGTGTACAGATGCATTTGGCGGCCTAGGGACCGGATACATTTATCGAGATCGTCGCCCTGCTCAGTGTTATCCTTCAGATAGTGAGCGAATCGGATCATTAAATAGTTAGCCAACAGATCGTCATCGGTGAAATCCAGCAGGCTCTTTAGGGCCGTAAAGTAGTTCAAGTTCTTGATAAACAGTCGGTATTCAAGTGAAATGGGCTGGCCAACTAGGGACTCGATGAATCGATGCCATTCGATACCCGTTTTCGACTCAATTTCCTGAACACTCAAGTAATTCTCTTCATCGTTGCCTTTTTCAACTTTTATGAGGTCTTCCATTTCAGATTCAAATTGTTTCATTTCTGATAAGAATATGGATCTCTTCGCGTTATGGATCCTCACATTTGATAAGTCTTCCTCAAAACTGGGCATACTTAGCTTTAATTCTGAATTTTGAGTGATCTCCACCTTTACTAAACTATTGGTAATGCCGTAGCGGTGCAAAAGCGCCAGTGTTTCCATCCACTTGAACGGTTTCTCGGGCCATTCGGTTTCGGGTGGTGTGAAAACGGGCCAGGAGAGTCCTTCGGCAGGAGGAGACAATTTCAGGTAGTGGTCCAGCCTGAATGTATATAAGTCAGCCATGTGGCAATTCAAAATGTAGCGAAGAGCCTTGGCATCCACAGTCGGCTTGAAGTCCGGCGATCGTATACGTCTGTACAGTCTTATTATCATTCTGTGGAGGTCCTTATCATACTTTTCCTTCATCATTTGATCGGTGCTAAAGAAGTGGTCGTTGATATGACGTTGCTTGAAATTGCCGCACGCATGTTCAAAGAAATCATCACAGGCACTCGAGTTCTGGTTCACATTGCCCATTAGGTTCTCCAGTAGTCGTTCGTTGACGCTGTTCTCCTTAGAAATTGGAGAAGACGCCGCAATTTGTGCCAGGAACAGGAAAATAATCCATTTCATCTTTAGCCCACTAAATATATTGTGTTACGCAGAAGCTTGAATTTTTGTAACTAACTAAGTCGCATGTGAATCTCGCCTTTTTATACCTTAAGCTGGGGTCTATCATGACTAATCAGTCGTTTAGCTATAATTCAGTTTTAAATTGTCAAAAACTACACGCGCAAAATCAGCTTATCAATTAAAATAGCACACAATAAGAACAATAACAATGCGTCATAGCTATTTGGCATTATCTCCATTGTCTTGAAGGGTCAGGGCACTAATTATAAAAAAAAATGCTACAATAAAATCCTCTCATGCCTTATCAATTGTAAAAGTAAAGAAATGAGTACGCTGATAATGATAACTCGCGTAATTATCTGTCAACTAAAAAATAATAGACCTTTGCTGATCTCGAGTTTTAAGTTTTCAAAAGTTCTGAAGAGATTTCTCGAAGAAATATTAATTTTACAGCCCTACGATTACCGTCAGAATATCTTTTGTGTTTTTTCTTAGTTATTAAATTTTCATTTGTAAAATTTCTTATTATACGCTTTAAAAAGCCGTTACTAAAGGGCTGCAGCTTCTTTTGCTGTTTATAGTGGCCAGCTTTTGACAGTGAGCAATTGTACTGTTATTTTACGATTGTCGCTAAAATGTACAATCTTTTTTCGTATTAAGTTTTTTTATATTTAATAAAATTAATTTTTTATAAAAAAATTTTATAATTCCAATATTTGTTCAAAAAAATATCTCGATAGAAATATTTATTTTTCTAAAAATATATCGATATATCGGAGTTTAAAAATATTTATCACATCGCGACCACCTGGCAACCCTGTTCTCAGCAGGCAGAGACGAAAGCGACAATTGTTGAAATTTTCGTGATAATTTAGATTTATACGAAAACATACAAAATGATGAACGCCGTGTCGCGTGCTTACGTCAGAGGCGGAGCCCAGGTCCTCTCCACGGGATTGAAGGCGAGCGGCGTGGCCGTCAACTCGATGGGTAAGGTTCTGCGAGGTGGATTCTCCAAGGTGCCAGCGAAAAAAACACAACCATTACATAATGAACGGAGCGGAAAAACGCGGAAAAAACATTGCTTAATTCTGGGAAATGCAGCCAGGACACGATTTGCAGTCAGCTCCAAGGGGATTTGGCAAATTTCCTTACGTAATTTCAACATAACCTCCCACAATAACAACAATTGGAAGGCTCACCAGCACATCCCAAGTTCAACATCGCATCTATGGGATAGCGACATCCAAATTTTACGAAACTTGGGATGCAGCATCTCATAGATTCATAATAATACCCTGTGAAGTTTGGTTCGAATACCTTAGAAAACAGCAAAGTTATGCCCATTTGGAATGTCGAATCACGAGACATCTAAAGGATAAATGTCTAGAATTAGGTTTCTACACACAAACAATATTGTGCATAATTTATTTTAACAACAATTGCCTTAAAAACCAAATAAGACTGTTCATAGTGCCAGTATTTTTTTAAATAATTAAACAGTTTCCTTGACATTTGTAGAAATAACAATTTTAAGAACCATATTCAGACCAAGGATTTTTTGAATCCATACACAATAAATTCCCAGAAATTTATGGGATATTATCTTCTACATAAACTACTTACATTGTCTTAAAAAATATATAATAAAACCCTCCTTTTTTCCAGCTAACCGCCAGGCACACACCGACCTGCAGGTGCCCGACTTCTCGCCCTATCGCCGGGACTCCGTGAAGGACAGTCGTCGTCGCAACGAGACCGCCGAGGAGCGCAAGGCCTTCTCTTATTTGATGGTCGGTGCCGGAGCCGTGGGCGGTGCCTATGCGGCCAAGGGTCTGGTCAACACCTTCATTGGATCCATGAGCGCCTCCGCCGAGGTTTTGGCCATGGCCAAGATCGAGATCAAGCTGGCCGACATCCCCGAGGGCAAGTCGGTGACGTTCAAGTGGCGCGGAAAGCCACTGTTCATCCGCCACCGTACCGCCGCGGAAATCGAGACCGAGCGAGGAGTGGCCACATCCACGCTGCGCGATCCGGAAGCTGATGATGTAGGTAGCAAAGAGGGGGACGATTTTAAAGGCAAAACAACGTAAAATAACTAGTAACTATGGGAGAAATTGTAGTAAAATCCTTCTCGTGTTTAATCATTCTTGAACGAAACACCAAGATTTTGTTGAATAGAATTTGTTTACATGCCAATCAAGCTGTTAAATACAGTTTTAATGGCAAAAAAACGTAAAATAACTAGTAATTATTAGAGAAAAAAGTAGTAAAATCCTTCTGTCGTTAAATCATTTTTAAACGAATCACTAAGAATTTGTTGAATCAAATAAAAACACCTCTTAATGAGGTAAAAAACTAGTGACGATCGCACCTTCAACATACAAAAGTTCTGATATCAACATTTGTGACGAAAAATTATTACACTCGTCATTAAATAGACTTTCTAATATTTTCTCATTCGGCCCGCCCTAGCAAACTATTCCAGCCTTTTTCCCTTCACAGGCATTTTCTATTGCAGCGTGCCGAATGAGAAAATATTAGAAAGTCTATTTAATGACGAGTGTAATAATTTTTCGTCACAAATGTTGATATCAGAACTTTTGTATGTTGAAGGTGCGATCGTCACTAGTTTTTTACCTCATTAAGAGGTGTTTTTATTTGATATCAGAAGTTTTTGTTTGTTTACATTTGCTCTCATGGGAGCTAGTATATACATTTAAATTTAAATTGGTCAATCATAATTTGTAAGCCATTGTATTTAAACAAATTAAGTTAAAAAGGCGTTTAAGTATTTCAAAATACCTTTAAAACGAGGTATAGCACATTTCTGTACCTTTAGTAGTATAGAACTTAAAAACTAACGAAATTTAGCTATTTTTAGCTTTTTTCCCGCTAAAGTAGCGGCTTTTTCCAAAAGTCGTAGAACAAAAGATTCCTATATGGAACTCTTAAGTGCAAATTTACTGATTCCATGACCCCAAAATACAGTTCGTATACCCTCACACAAAATTCAATACTCAGGGAGCGTTAGTTGTTCGAGCTGGCAAAAGTGGCTATTTTCGTATAAAAATAACTTTTAAACGTGACTTTTTACAGTAATGTGTTATATACCAAAATTTAAGGAATCTCAAGGGCTATACAGTTTAAAGTTGTAAAGAAAATCGTTAGAGCCGTTTTTGAAAAAATAGCTAAAAAGTGATTTAAAAAAACAACTTTTAGCCATAAATTTTAAACTATTGCATTAAGCCAATTTTACCCAAGGCAACGCGATTAGCATTTTAAATTACCTTTTTAACAAGGTATAGTATAGTCTGTAGCTTTGGTCGTTTAGAAACTATAAGCCGTCAAAATCTAGCTTTTTTCAATGATTTCCCGCCAAACTAGCGGGTTTTTCCAAAAGTTGTAGAACAAACGTTGTTCATATCCTGCTGCTAAGCACAGTAAAATTTAGTTCAGGATCCTAAAACCACGATTTGATGCATACCCACAAACAAAGGGACAAATTACTTCATTTTGGGAAGAAGAAGAAAATCTTATTTTGGCTATAACTTTTGAACGGAGCATCGGATTTTATCATATGACCCCTCATTCGACGGGAATTTTCAATAGAAAAACTACTAAAACATTGCGAGGGGGCATATATCCCCACCGGCCCCAACAGCTCCAAATTTCGAAATTTTCACTTTTTTACGTTCACCGCTCTCTCTCCCAAGCCAATTGATTTTCTTAAAGTCTTGGTATGCAATCCTGTTAGTTTTCGCAATACCTTTCGATAGGTGTATCATTCATTATGATCGGACCATCACAGTAGATTTTCATTTCTTCGTGTATATATAGTAGTCGCCTTCGCACACTCTCCTGGTGCGCTTCGTCACTACATGGACTGCCGTCCATAGTGATAGAAGTTGTTTTAATGCCAATCAAGATGTTAAAAACGATTTAACTGTAGTAAATTAATCATTCTTGAACGAAACACCAAGATTTTGTTGAATAGAAGTGGTTTAAATGCCAATCAAGCTCTAAAAATCTTCCCACTCTATCATCAATCCATAAACTATGGAAATATCTACTAATATTACTTTTTTACTACCCTTTTTAGCAACGAGTGATCAAGCCCGAATGGCTGGTGGTCATCGGAGTCTGCACGCATCTGGGTTGTGTGCCCATCGCCAATGCCGGTGACTGGGGCGGCTACTATTGCCCCTGCCACGGCTCCCACTACGACGCCTCTGGAAGAATTCGCAAGGGACCGGCGCCACTCAACTTGGAGGTGCCCACCCACGAGTTCCCCAACGAGGGCCTTCTGGTTGTCGGCTAGAGGAGCAACACCCGCAGCGCTGTTATCGTTTAAGCCCCAACTACATAGTGAATGGATCGATGTAAATTAATAAAAACAACCAAACAAAACGGCTGAGCATAAACGAAGAATTCATTCGAATTGAGGAGGGATAAATCATAAATCACATATTAAAGAAATGTATTTGAATTGTCAGTTCTGTAATTGTTATCAGAAGTTAGGATATTTCAACTACTAAGAATATAGTGAGTAGCTGACGATTAAACAGTCTTATTATTAACTAAAAGCGTAACTAGTTAGGCTGATCTTTGATTTTTCCTCGTCGTTCCAGAAGTTGCATTTCGAGCAGTTCATTTTTCATTCGAATGCCCCTGAGTTCCTCCCTGTTCTTCTCCAAATCTAGTTTATACTTTTCAATCTCCATTTTCCGCTGCTCGAGTTCAAACTGGTGCTTTTCCATCTCGAATTTGTGCTTCTCGGCTGCCCTGGAGTTTTCACCCCGGTAGTAATCCTGTTGCAGCTGAAGAAGGGCCAGCTTTTCATCGGTCATCACGTTTATGGACTCGGAGTCCTCATCCTCTGGATCATCGGCAGGCTCTTCCTTTAATTTAACCTCTGGATGAAGAAAGTTTTCTATTTCGCTGTAGTTGCTTCCCAAGTTGTTACTGGGATTGTATTCCGGATCTAAGTCGGTGCTACCTGGTAAAAAGATTTTCTTTATTTATAATCTTGAGTAAAAGATAAGAGATAAGCTATTGGGTACTAGTTCTGTGGCTTTTGTTCATATTTCTAGGGTTCCTAACTTACTTTCTTCCTCGACAAGCGACGAAACTGCTGCAATGGACAACTTGTGATCGTATTCCTTGCTATCATTATCCAATGCACCATCATCATCTCCGTTTCTATTGAAGGTCCTTTGGCGCCTTGATCGCAGGGTACTGGCATATTTTTCTCTCAGTGCCTGCCAAGGTCTCTGCATTCCCGATTGCAATTCAAAATCTGTGGCAATTTTCTGCCAGGCTTCGGCTTTTTTGCTCCACATGTGCGCATCGTTCTGTTTGCTGTCTATCACATCGCGATGCGCATGGATTAGCTTCTCCAGAATCCTCTCCTCCCTGTGGGTGAAGTTTTTAGCGCGAGCTCTGGGCAAATTCATTTGGCAAGTTCTTTTTTCTTTGGCAAGAGGGCAGCTGATAATTTTTTACTTTTGTAAACAAACGACTGTTGTTGCGTCGGCGGGGCGTTGCCACCTAATGGAAACTGATTTTCAGGGATGGACAAGGGTAAATCGAAAATTTTTTCATGTTTAATTTATTTGGTTGGAAATAGGTTGGAATTCTTATGAAATTTTAAATTAATTTATGGCGAGTAGATTTCTGTATCTCTCTCGAATAGTCTTCATTTATTCGTTATTTATGGAAGTAGAATTATAAAAGTAAATATATTTTTATAATACTTTAAATAAGAACATTTTAAATTGAATAAGAATAGAGTTTGTAAATTTTTTAACACAATCAGCTGGCAGCCAATTCCATTGATCTGGCAACGCCATCCCATTGTTGTCTTTTGTTCAGGGGTGGAGAAACATCGATGTTTGTGGACATCGATGTTTTTAAGAATAACAAAAGCAAGGAAGGAATGTAGATTGTGTTAAAAGAGCTTACTATTTAGAATAAGAACAACAAAACAGTACATTTTTAACATAATATTAAACAAATCAACAACAAATTTTAAAACAAAAACCATCGATGTTTCCAAAATTAATAAAAACATCAATGCTATCGAAAGTGACATCGATGTTTTCTCACCTCTAATTTGTTGTCTTTTGTTTATACGCATTAAAAACGTCGAAATCCCTTTAAAATGGCCGAGGAAATCGACGACAATGAGTTTTACCGGGAGAACTTCAGTGCCGACTCCGATTGGGAGGTGTTCAATGCCCAGCTGGGCGAGATCCTCCAAAAATGGGACGTCTCCGGGGAGTCTGACGTGGGCAGGATTCTCAAACCCGAGGAACTCTACACCTGCAAATGGAAGGTGGAGAGGCAAACGCTGGATATGCTGAAGAATGGCATAGAAGTGGAGCACCACCAGGCCATCCTGGAGGATGAGCAAGTGGCCAGGGAGGAGATCAAAGAGAATACCTGCCTGCAGCGCACCAATTGCCACCATGACCTCATTGCCAGCGGAAATAGCTTTGGTCCGCCGATAAGAAGCTCCCAGGATCTTCACATTCTGGCCAGGATCTACGGTCTGCGACGGTTTATAGTCCTGCATCCCGTGAATCCCAGTCTCAACTACATGAAGTCCACCTCGGAGTTCAATTTCTTTCTCAGCGCCATCGCCGTCGTGTCCGCCGAAGTTCAGAGCGTCGTTCCCATCTTTGTGCAGATCTACGATCCCAAATGGAACTACTACACGGGCGTGGCCTTAGCTCCAGCTCTGAGGACCAATTTCCGGCTCATTGGACTGGAGAAGGCCCCGTCCGAGTGCCGTTTCCTGATGGGCCTGCTCACCCTGTTCAGGGAAAAGGTTCCAACCTCCTATAACCAGGCTGCCATGATCTCCGTTTGCACCACATATGCTCTGGACACCATGCGCATCCGCATGCCCATGTATGTGCCATTCGACCATGGCCTCAGTTCCGAGGATATTGTAGTCGACGGAGAGGTTGCGCACCTGGAGCTTCAACAGTTCTACGCTCTGCCACATGGCTATACACCCGAGTCGTGTACGGAAATCTATTTAGTTTACACCTGGCCAGAGTTATCCGAGCACGTGGCCTTCGACAGCGAACAGAGGAGCGATTTTGTGCCCTCCAAAGCTCCGCTGGGCAAGGTTTACCTCTCCGTGGAGGCCTCCTCCTATCTCTCCTGCTGCCTGAGGGATTATCAGTCTGTTGCGGGAGTTACACGTTCCCTGGAGTCCTTTGTGGGCAGGAACTTCTCAGGCACAAGCAGCGGAGCAGAGGGAGGTGCTAATCCCCTGGATCGCATCACCGAAAACAAACTGACCAAGCGCAGGGAACGGAGTTACGAGCTGCCCTCGCAGGCGGGGTTAACAAAACGTTTGCCTGGTCCCATGACTGAAAGCGAATTGAGTGAACTTTTGGCCTACCTTTTCCCTGATATGCATCCCGAAATGGCGCTGTATCCCTACTCCAAAAAGAGCTTTAAGGAGAAGGTGAGTGGGAGGATTAAAACTTACACAAACCTCAAAAAAATACCAAGCCAATTTCATAAATTTTTTATATCGTAAAATTATTTAGATAATTTATTATTGATTAATTACACTATGTTTCATCAAAAATTTACCTCGGTGTATGCTATATACTTTTGGGCAAGGTGGTAAAATTCCTCAAGGAGTAATATTCCTTTTTTATGGCTATGTCGCAATTAAATTATTTAAACCTTAAAAAAAAACCTAACATTTTTCTGAGTATGGGGTTCAAAAGATAAAGAGTGTCACTTTTAAAAAACGTTAACAGTAAAACAAACCATGAATCCGTTTGTCTGTTATACCCCCGCAAAGTTGGCCAATTTCAGCATTTTTCGAGCTTTAAGATCCTTGTGTTAAGAATTCTTGCGTCGGGGAACTTATTGGTAAACGCAGTTTAATTTGGGAATTCGTATCGAATTTAAAAATATAGCATCCATAGAGGCAATAATTTTCTAACACAGTGATATTATTATTTTATTATTTTTTCTAATAAAATCTTAAATTAACCCCCATTTTGCTTACCTTTCTCCCACTTTTTTAGTTCGATCCCATGCGAATTAAGAGCGCTGTTCCCGATTCGTTGGTCTGCCGCCTTAGCTGCCTTTTGGCCACCTGCCACGCCCACTTGGGCAGCGTAGAGGGCATGGCTCAAGTGTGGGCGGCTTTCACCCGTCAACTGCGATTGCTGTGGGATAACTGCCTTACCGTTCCGGGGTGAGTAAAACACAATATCGACAAACGAATAGTAACAAAAATATGCTTTATTTGGAACTTGATGCGTACAAACTAAAAACCAAAAAAACGAAATATTTCGTAAATTTTCTAGTAAATTTAGTTTGCTAATCTGTGAAGCCGCAAAGTTAACACTTGAATTGGATTTATTTTTAACAATATAACGCACATTTAATATGGGATCGTGTACTATAAGTCTAACTTGTTGGGTTGGTGGTGTTATCTTCCTCAAAATCGGTTGGTGTCTTCGTTTTTAGTGTGATGTTTTCTATTCCTTCCTCCAGTTAATAGATATATATCCTCCTTTGTTGGCTGGCAGTTTTTTGTGTCACCGATTATCTTAAAATATTACTCATCTCTTGTTTGGTGTCTTGTTTTTTTCGTTCAAGTGCAGCTAAACTAAATTAAAGCACGTGCTTTCGATTTGTTTCTTCATCGTTCTCAATGTGCTAAGGCAGTTTAATTAAGTTTTAATTGTTTAACACTAAATTTGATTTAAAGTTTCTTAGTTGCTAGTTTCGGATATTTGTTCCTCTACTTTTCCTTTGCTTGCTTTACAAGTGAAACATTTAACGGAAACATATATAATTAATATTTTGTTATTTTTTCTTTTTCTTTGAATTTATTGCCTACGATTTATTGGAATATTTGTTTACTATTTGTTGTTCTAAATAATTGCTCCCGTTTTCCACCTAAATTGTGCTTACTGTTCTAATGCTCAAAGCCTTGCCTATAACTGGTTCACTTAGGATAGATAGTTTAGAGTAAATATATAGAGTAGATATTAGCTTACTTCACTAAGTATCTAGTGCCAGACATGGACGTGTTGTGGATCTCCAAAGAGATCCGGTCCACGGGCACTAAATATTGTTAACTGTCAACTGTGTTTCGCCCGGACTCGTCCGGATTGTTTATCCCGACTCGCCCCTCCAACGATAATGATAATGATAATGCCAAAAAAGAAATCGTTTCAAACGCTTAAACCTACGAATTTCTATATACAACTATATACAAATAAATAAAACGAAGCGAAAACATTTAAAATATATACTTTTGTTTTATTAAAATCTCACTAAAAATTAGAAATCATAAACATACACTCATAGAAATTTTTACCTAAATACTAGAAAAGTCGCCCTAAAACCAAGGTCGCCCTAAAACTACGAAAAATTTTCTTATTATACGGGTGGCTAGCCCTAAATATACGAAAAATCGCCATGGAAAATATTTTTTAGGGTTAGTTTTTCCAAAACGCCAAATTTGCCCTGTTTTTTAGGGCGAATTTTTATGAGTCGACTCCAAAAGTAATTCCTTCTTTTTAGGGCAAAATCGCCCTAAAACGCAGAACAAAATAACCAAAAATATGTTCTGAAATTGCCCTAAAAACAAGGAAGAGTCAAACGAAATTCTAAGACGCAATTAATGGATACACATGTAATATGTGTGTATGTGTGTGTGGTTGGCAGGTCAAAACAAGTGAATGTGTGTGTATATTAGGGCGGACCTTTTTCTATGAATTTTGATGCTGAGCGCATTTGACTTTAGAAAAGTCCACCCTTTTTCTTCTTCTTCGCTACTTTTCGTCCGTTGCAGTGGCAAGGGGGGTAGAAAGAGTTGCGTTGTCTAGACTTTGTCATAATTTTTCGGGCGCTTGGCAGTAAAAGACGTGTTTGTATGAAACCTTTTGTTTGTGAAAAAGTGAAAAATGTAAACGCTATTAAAGGACTTGGGAGGCGATTCTTTCTCAGTTTTCTGGTGAGTACATACATATATAATTGTGCAATTTGGATATTAACAACTAATTGAATTTACATATCTGTAACAGAGGAAAATGCAGCTGAAAATTAAAAAGATTTGACTGGAAGCAGCGGTCCAGATGTAGAGTTTTGGAAGTGTGGCAGAACAAAGTAAGAACATTAATAAGAGTATACATATATGTATGTGTATATGTAAATAATGCTTGAGGTAAAAAGATGATGCAACAGAATACACACTTGTGTACATATATATATCTACCAGAAATCTGTATTTATGCACCCGACAAACCGCATTCACAAGTGCATATGCCAACATAACCCCAAATTTCTATTGCGTCATTTCGTCAGTAACTGAAATTTGCTTTTGTTGCTTCTTTTTTTCCAGAAGTAGCAGCAAACGCAATCGCAGGCTAAAATTCTGAAAATTCTGACTGTTAGTAGTGCATTTTTATATTAATTTCTAACAATTTTTTTTCTTGTTTTAGATTGAGAACGTCTTTGAGATCCAGCTTCCGCAAACCACTTTTCGCACTTTTTAAAAGCGAAAGTAAGGGAATAAAACTGCTCAAATCTTTGGAAAGCCACGCTGAAGGTATGTGCTTTTTCTCTTTTTCTTTTCTCATTCAATAAATAGACTGTTTTTATTTAATAGAGATACAATCAACTTTAATTTGGCTTGCGATACATTCAATGTTGGTGCGACAGCAATGACAAAAAAGGACGGCGGGAGCATGAACGCGAAGAACACCATTGCGGACCCGCGAAGCCGTTTCTTGGTTTGGAAGGCTACTGTTGGGGAACTGCAAACACATCTAAAGGCATTGACGGAAAATTGCTAATCCGGAAAGCCGAAACTGCAACCATTCAGCTGCAACGTGGGAACAAGCCCTTTTTGACCTTGGTGAATTTCCAGTTTACCTATCAGAGGTTTTTTTATAGAATGCGAACCTTATTGAAAAGTATTGATGTGTGCTTCAAAATATTTTCTGTTTTAAACCACGACATTTATTAAAAAAATGTTTTATGAAATTCATTTGGAGTCTGATAAGAAAGGTAAAGCTTTATCCGAACTCTTGAAGGATTATAAAACCTTAAAACTGTAACTATTTTAAAGAAACAATCTGTTCATTCCAAAAAAAAATATTATTTCTATGCATTCAATTAGAAGTAAAATTTGATAATCAGTACTTATTGTAATAAACCTTAAAAAAACCTAAAGACCAAAAAAATACATTAAGCCAAAACATTATTTTTAAGATCGATGTAATTCTTTTAGCAATAAGAATAAGTAGAATAAGTAGTAGTATGTAAATGTATATAATTAGAAATTGTGTAAGTAACAACAAAAAAAATATTAAAAAAAACAAAAAAAATATAATGAAATCGTATTTTTATTTATGAAAAATGGCCGTGAAATTTTGGGGAGCATTTTGCATGTTTTAGGGCAATTCGCCTATAAATCCAGAGAAAACGCCCTAGATTTATGAAAATCTGCCTTTAGTTTTAGGATATTTTTCCTTATTTCTAGGGCAATTCGCCCAAAAATCCAGAAAAGCACCCTAGATTTATAAAAAACTGCCTTTAGTTTAAAGGTATTTTTTCCGATTTCCAGGGCAATTCGCCTATAAGTCCAGAAAAATCGCCCTGGATTTAAAGGAAACTGCCTTTAGTTTAAGGGTCTCATTTCTTATTTTTATGGCAATTACCTGTGAAAATAGAAAAATCGCCCTAGATCTACGAAAAATCGCCCTAAATGTATGACAAATTCACCCGTATTTTTAGGGCAATTTGCCCTAATTTTGTTGCCTAGTCGCCATTGACCCCCGTTTTAGGGCGATTTTCCTTGTTTTTAGGGCGATTTTACCGGAAAATTTCTATGAGTGTAAGAAAGAACTTAGCACGCAATTGTTTCGATTGAAGCTTCTGTACAAAACGAAGTGAAACAAGTCGAATTACAAGTTAAATTAAAACTGTTTAGGCAGTAAAATGGTTTGGTTGGTTCAAAAACTACTGGAATGGGTAATCAGCTTAATTCCGGGATAGACAAACATAGAGTGAAATATAAATGAACTGGGGGAAATGATAAAAGATCTGGACTAGAGAATGTTTGAAAGTGTGTGAGAAGAGTTATTCATTTGACCTATTACTATCGTAAAACTCTTTAAACTTGAATTACGCCTGGGTAAATTACATCTTATAGGACTGATTTTTCTGTTGCTCATTCTAAATTATTTACATATTGCTTGTTTCTTGTGCTCTCGCAGCGACTTCTACTATGCCTGTCTATCCCAGCATTAAAACCTTGCCTCCTTACAAGCTAATCATTAGTTAATTCGATATAATAGCTATTAAGTATAATTAGTACCATATTGACTTAAGTTGTAGTTCTTTGATTGCTCTGTTCAACTAAGACTGCAAAAAGAACTAGGGAAAGTTGTATTTATTGCACTCTAAACAGCATATAAAAATATCTATCTTTCTGTACGCTACACTTAAACGTCCTGCCCGTGCAATTGTTATGCATTATGCAGATTCCGAGAGGCCCCAGTGACAACAGCAACAGCAACATCCACTTCAAGGAGCTGCTCTCAAAGCCCTTCCCTGTCTGCAGATGTGTCTGCTGATTCTGCTGCACCTTCTGTCTCAGTGTCAGCCAATGTCAAGTTCAGAGACAAGGACACTTCCTGCTCCGCCTCCTTCTTCTCCTCCTCTGGTTGATGTTGCTGCTGCTGCACTTGTTCTATACTCGACACCGAGGTGCTGGCCAAGGATGAGCCGGATTCCTCTCGAGCTTCCCCTGCTGCTGCTGTTGTCACCGTGGCCATCTCCTCCTCCTCCTCGCTTAGACTACAATTACATGTACAATTACAGCTATCACTAAACGTATGCGCCTTATAATTGCCAATGTTGCCGGTTGCATCATGATGATTATTACTGATATTATATAAAATATTGTTAGTCGTTGCCGTTGCCATTGCGGGTAACTGTAAACGGAAGGCATTGCTGCGGGGTAGTTGGCGTGTTGCTGCCGTGTTGCTGCTACTGTTGTTGCTACTTGTGGGATGATGATAAATGATTTCCTGACGTTCATATTCGTTAAAATAGTTCTCAACAACAATGCCACTCGATGCTGCTGCTGCCTCGCTGGATGTTGCTGCTGCTGCTGTTGCATCTTCTAGCGTTGCTGTCAACGAAGCCAGCGGCAATTGTTGCTGGTGGCCGATGTTGCTGCTGCTGCTGTCAGTGGTGTTGCTGGTGGTATTGCTATTATGGAAATTGGCTGCTCGGGGCACCACATCGGGGGGCGAGGTGCAACGCTCTGTCTGCGGCATATAGTAGTGTAATCGTTGATGTTGCTGCTGTGCTGGCTGATATGGCTGCTCCAATTGCTGATTGTTTCTCTGTCGTTGTTGATGTCGCTCATTCCTCAACTGTTGATGTTGATGTTGCAGTTGCTGATGTTGCTGCTGCTGCTGACGCCGACCATGCCCCCTGGTGCCCCCTTGCCCCTCAATGGCCGGCGTCAGATATTGTCAGAAGATGCCGTCCCAGTTTAATACAACATTGAAATATCAGGACAACGTGAGTCGCCCTCATAATGGCACTAAACCGTTCCGCGTCGTCGGATTGCGGGCCATATAGATGTCCATGTCGTGATCCGTCCAATTGTCCGATGTATCGCAGTAGTTGTTCAGCGTGTGCGTCGATCCCGCCTGCGAGTATCTGCAATTGAAAATATAACAAACGGCCAACAAGCCAGTTGTTTGTATCGATTATATCAGAGATTCACTAGTGCAACACACAGTAACGCATTGCCCAATGCGTTTTGTGCCGTAAAAATGCTCGAATCCAAGCGAAACGCAATTAAAATTAATGGAATCAGTGGAAAATTTATACAGCAGAGGAGGGGGTCTTTGGGTTAGTGGTGAAAGGAATGCATGTACACAATGTAGTTACAGAATTTTTTTCGTACATGGATGAAAGTTTGATTTGATTGCGGCGATGGATAGTTGCCAATCAAGGCTGAATGTAAAGCTCGGCGAGGAAGTTGTTCGAAAGTGTTTTGGTTTGGGTTTCGGGTTCGGAAAAGTTAGCGAATGAGTGGGTCATTTATTGCTTCGGATTGGAAATTAAGTGGAAATTGTAATTACTTTTAAATGGGTCATTCGCAAATTGATTTTACAAAAAATATTTGTGAGATTTTTAATATTTTATATTTCATTTTTAAAAGAATAAAAATGCATTTAATATTAAAAAGTAGACATCTAGTCGTACAGTTTAATAATTTCAAATTTAAAGGTATGGATTAAAGAACAACAAAATATTTATTTATCTATTCATTTATTGCATCGAACTGGAAATTAAGTGGAAATTGTAATTACTTTTACAGGGGTCAATCGTACTGGGATTACTGGGATTTTAAATATTTTATATTTATTTTTTAAAAGAATAATAAATCATTCTTCATTATTATCAAACACATCTTGATAGCTTCAAAGTTCAAGGTGAAGAATAAATGTAGAACCACAAAATATTGATTAACAAAAGAACCATTTATCAATTTTTCCCACGATTTCTGAGAACTTTTCGTCGAAAGAGTTATTTTTTAGCGCTTAAATTTGACATTGAATTTTTTTGAGACGGTCTCTAATAAATCAAAGACCCACCCAGAGCATTAAAAAAAGCTAATTAAATTAATGACCAACGAAAGCAGTAAACCAATGAATTAAGCAAAAAACTTTCAAAGCAAAAGTTGAAAACGAGAAACATAAAAGAAAGAATTGAAAGTGTAATTTGGGATGTGTGATTTGTGATCCATGATAATCGGCTTACGAAAATCACAGAGTGGGTGTGAATTCGTTTTTAATTAGTTTGTTTGTTTTTTAGGTTTTTTTTTTTATTTTTTCTTATGAGATGTGTTCTACTTACCGACTTCCCGGTCGATGGTTATGTATGTGGGTGGCGTTCAGCTGTTCGCGTGATCTGGATCGCGGTCGCGATCTTCGGGCGCTGGAGGCGATACTCGCCGGTCCGCCGCCGCCCACCATTCCGCTCATGGCCATCAGGCTGCTCACGGGCAGTCCGTTGCCACCCCCTCCATTTCCACCTCCTCCTCCTCCGTTTCCGCCCCCATGAATGGATCCCGCATACGAGGCACGGGACATTCGCTCCGAGGCGGCTGCCAGGGATTGCCGGGATTGTCGCAATTCCGGCCGCGAATTCACCAGATTCGAGGGGAAGGCACTGCCCAAATAGCCACGATGCGAATTATTCGAGAAACTATGCTGCGACTGTCCGTCCGCCAGGGATCTACTGTAGTTATGTGGGTGTGTGGTGTTGGTGTGTGATTGGTGTCGTGCATGATGCATAATGCATAATCAAAACGATGAAACAATCGAAACGAACGGAATAAATAATAACGAAAATATAAAGCTCGGAATGCAGGGCAAGCAAATGTTTGCTGAAGGTTAAAAACTCGGACTCACCTTGATTTGCCCACTTTGCCGGGCATTCCGGAGAAGTGGCTACGCATATCGTCTGGCTGTTCCACTGGATAAATACGGGGCCGCGGTATCGAGCGACCACTGTAGGCTGACACTTGATCCCATTCCTGAAAAAAGAAAGAGAAATCATTGAAATATATTAAAAAAATCTTGTAATATCTTTTAAAACTGTAAATGAAAGTGTAGTAACTTTTGTTTTTTGAAGATCTATTAATAACTTGTCTATCATTTAACACAAAACATTTTGACAGCACTTTAAAGTTAAATTTCTCTTAAGTTTCCATTCCTAAACTGAATTTATGATTTTCCCACCCTATACCACTGATCATCAGTTATTTACTGAAAAAAGGCAAGAGAGAACATAAAAAGAATAAGATAAATCTT